AAAATAGTTAACTATGTTTTAGATTGTTCAAATAGAGTAAAATTAGTTAGCTATGTTTTGAAATCAATTAAATAAATAATTTCAAAAATAGTTACAAATAATGTGATGTAGTTAACTATCTTGTGAGAGTGTTTCGAAAATAGTTAACTATCTCAGTTACATTATTATGTAAGTACAACAGAAACAAAATCAGAAAATAGTTAATTATACGAACCTCTCTTTGCTTCCCAGATCCGCCGCCAACCTTATTTTCCATCGTCTTCACCGTTGTCAGTTTTGTGCTCATTCTCTGTAGATTTTTTTTCTAAAGCCTCTAATTGATGACCATACAACTAATTTCCATTTTATAGCAAAATACATGAGATATACGATTAGATGGTTGATATTCATAAAATATCATATCGGATACAACAAGATCAATCAAGATCATTCTGCATCGATCAAGCATAATCTGAGATTTTATTTCTCCTTCGCAGACATCGCCAATTAGGTTTCGATGGAAGAAAATATTTTTTGTGATTTTAGTGATTAGTGGTAAATATTTTTGATTAATTTTTATACATTTTCCTTCTTAATTTTCGCAGGGATATTTTTGTCTATTTTTTCTTTCTCTCCTAGATAACTAAATTTCATTATACAGAAATTAGTTACGTAATTATACATCTCAAAACAAATATTAAGCTAATTAATCAAAAAAAAAGATTTAATCTCCAAAAAAATAAAAAGGATTTAATCTTTACGGAGGCTTGGAACTAAAAGAAAATACCAACCAAAATGTATAAAATAGTTAAACAAAGATGAAATATTTTATACAGTCGATAAAATAAATTTTGATTAGCAAACAAAGAGTATAAATCAGACAAAATGTCGGTAACTAAATCCGCCTCACTATTCTGTGGGAAACTCGCACTTCCCGTATCCTGTAATCAACACAAAAACGTTAAACATTAAACATCCTCTGTATTAAAAGGAGAAACATTTTTGAATTAATTTGTTTAAATGTCA